AGAGAGCTTCTCCATTATGAAGAAAGTGGATCAGAAGGTGAAAAGCTTCTTGGAATACAACTTTATGGTGAGAATGCTCACCTATAAGTCATTCTTATTAATTGCTTATTAAGGTTTCAATTAAAACTAGGCCCAAGGCCGAATTTTGGAGTTATTACTAACCTTTTTTTTTTTTTTTGACAGCTCACAGACAGCTCACATTTATGATGTGCTTCCCGAAAAAGAAGTATTGCATTTCTAGGCAAGGAAGACGATTGGGCTACAACTGAGAAATCGATCGAGGAGAATTTTGAGATAAACCTATGAATAATTGTTACGTTCGCTAAATTTTTCTTTTAAAATAAGTTAAGCGAACACTTAGTTGTTTCAGCAGAAAAAAGCTGAAAAAGTTAGCAAAGTCGCCTTGGTTATCTAGTCTCCCGTTAGTATGAGTCGATACACGTTCTCTATACCCGATGGATAAATCGTTCTCTATAATAGGGTTTCATACAATTAGATAACAATTCCTAGATACCTTTTTCCTTAGGTTGTTTTCACCATGGTAACTTGATCATCGCTGGTATGAGTCTGCTAAGGAGGCACATCCTCTCACCAATCAACTCGACCTTTTTATCCATTCTAACACAGTTGGTAAGAAGCTCGAAGTCACCTTCAAGAACCTCCATATTATCGCCATGCACACTCAAGCATAGCTGTGACAGTGCTCTTATCATATGGCGATGTCTCATAGGAGAGTAGTCAGGGGGTTCTCATAAATGGAAAAGAAAACAAGTGACTTGCTAAGAGAACAAAAAGAAGCTAACAAAAATAAAGAGACCGATAAAGAAAATATTAATTCACAATGAGTATACCCGATAAAGTGTTACAAAGAGATTAAGAATAAGGGCGAGACAGTTACTATTTTCTATAGCATGGCAGAAGATGATTGCTAGTGACTAGAAAACTTGAAGGCAAATACTCGAAGTTAAAGGCTAGATGCTGCTCACAGGCAAGTTGCTCAAACTTAGGAGAAAATGTCCACCTTGAAGACAAGAATTTTTGAATTATTTGAGCGAGAGCAAGACGTGTGGTGTGCAAACGGTTAATTTAAATGAATCAGTTACAAATCAATCAAGCTGAATAAAACCAAAATCTGAAACCAAAAAAATCGAACCAACTAAGATTTTGCTAAAACTGATCCAAACCGAACCGAAATTTAATTCAGTTTAATTGGTTTGATTTGGAGCAAAATAAAATTTAGCATTTAATTTAATTTCAATTAGAAATGATTAAAATTTGATGTTCTATTTCAAATTAAAATTTTATTTCATGTTTTTATCTCATCACCATATCATTAAAATTAAAAATTTCAAGCAAAACTGAAATAAATGTAATACGCTCAACTTATTTTATCCAATTAAATTAAATTTTATTATTCTAATATTATTCAATTTTTCAGTTTCATTAACCTTACAAAATATTAAAATTGATATGAAAATTGAAAACAAAATATTCAAATTTTGAAAAAAAAATAAATTGTTATTTTAAAATCAAACTAAATCAATCAAATGTGCTCAGTTTGGGTCAATTTTCAGTTTTGACAAAATAATGCAGGCCACTAGCGAGAGCATTACGCATCAGAAGTTGCTGCAAGACAATTTCATGGAGAGCATCAAGTTTTGCCTAGAGAAACTTGTAAACAATTAAGACATTCCTCATGAGTGTTCTTATACTGAAAATTTGAGAAAGCTAATGGAGGAGCCAAGTTCAAGAGAAGAGAGAGATGAAGAAGGTGGTCTGACCAATGTATGACTGTATTTTATTATAAAAATGTATTGGTGAATACCATTGTAAAATATATATTAATTTCTGTAATAAAATGAAAGAACATGTGTTGCCTGATAACTTCTTTCTACTGTTATATGACAATGATGTAGTTCAATCGACAAAGCTGGTGCCTTAATGGGGAATTCATGAGAGTGAATTTCCTAAGAACAGCTCATAAAAAATAGTCAAACTTTTGCTTAAACTTTATAATGGCGATTTGCTGAAACTTTATCAGTGATGAACTGATAAGAAATCAACAACTTTCTTAATGATGAATTGATAAGAAATCTGTAATTTCTTTAGTGTTAAATTGATAAAAAAAAAAATCCATAACGATGACTTCCCAAGAATCTCATAATAGTGAATTGTTTAATATCAAGTTTCTGAGATATTTATAATGACGGACTGAAGAAATCCAAAAGAGCTAATTGCAAAAATTTTATAAGCAAATTATGAATTGATATGCTCTATCATACATATGTGAATTCTGAATAAGAAAATCAAAATTTAAGTCTTACGCTACTCATGCTCTTTTAGCGTACATCTTGGTTAAGTTTTTCATCTTTAATGGGTCGTGCCTTATTGTCAAACCATTCTTTTCACAAAGGTATACATTTAGACTTACCATAAAAGTGGCTCACGCTAATCATTACAGATTTTATCACAAAGTGGTGAGTCGCATCTTCCTCGCTTGACCTGTATTCTAAGAGTATATTTATGATGAAGCAAAAAGGTTTTACAATTCTTGAATATATTACGCCGCTCTTGGGACCAGTCGAATGCTTCCCCACTGGCCCGCCAAACCAACAAGCGAGGTTGATCCTGTACGAAGCAAGAAACGGAAGGCAGGGAAAAGCTGGGGTCCGCTCAGGCCATAATCACATATTCAAGGAGGAGAAATTGAGAGAAGTTCATAAGGAAATTTTTCAAATGCTTTAGGAGGATTCTACTAAGGGGAAAAACCTAGGATTTATGTTTTCTATGAATTATTTTGTGGTTGTTGTATTTTCTTCTTTTGGGTTTTGTTCCTAGCAATGTCTAGGGTGTGGCAGAGTCGATCAACCTCTCGAAAGTATATCATCTTTTGTATGTTGCTTATGTTTTCTTTGATTGTTGTAAGAGAAACCCTTATTTGTGCCTTTCCACATATCCATTATTATTTCTTCATGGTTTGTTCGTTAATTTTGGTGTCGAGGTATAACAGAATATTGACGTGTCTTGATGCTTAATTTTTTTTGTAAAATTTGTTGTAAAAAAAATATTTTTTATAAATCCCTGAACCGAGAGGTTAAATTGACAATTCAAGTTGGTGCCACGAGAGAAATTTAAAAAGGTACTCATGTAAGCATGAACTGTCCATCTATTAAGAGGTACTTAGCCCTCATAAAGGGAATCATCTCTGGGTACTTCGTTTACGCCTACAAGAATCTATCCTAGGGACTTCTAGCTTACTTACAGGGAGTCTCATCACTTGCCAACTTGTCCTTATGCAAATGTGGCACCAGGTAAGTCAATCATGATTTCTTCCTTTGTCCTAACTTGCTATATATATTTTGACTTGATCGGTTGAGTTGACTAATCCCACGTAACTGGTGGATGCCACATGTTAATGAAATAATCATGGTATGTGATAATAGTAAATTTTGATATAGACTTACCATAAATGTCATATGCACATGTTGATTACATGGTGTCTCTTACTTGACTACAAAGGAAGGGGGAGATAGTTTCCTAGTGTATCTTCGGTTCAAGTTTTATTGCCTTTCTTGGAAATAAATTAAGCTCGAGGGTGGATTGAATGAATTTAAACGGGATGATTTGATATTCAGTCCATGAAGATGGTAAAGATGGAGAAGAAAAAGACTTTTCTTCTTTTCTTTTTCCTTTTATTTTTTAAGTTTTTCTATATGTTATAGTCCGAATACATGAGTTCTTCAATTGTTGGAGCCCGAAGGCAGATTCACATTCATTAGAAGATATCAATTATATGGTTTGTTAACATCCTCACATAACATTTTTTTCCAAAGTGGTATTCACTTTGTAATTTAGTGGCATCTAAATGTGAACATATTCAATTGTACTCTAGAATTACAACCTCTTCAAAGTTGCATCCACTTCAGTTTAAAACAATTTAACCACCGCAACTTGAACTATATCTAGTTACTCTTCTAACAAACCTCCATATTTTTTTGTTGCTTTTGAGTTTCATCAATCTATCAGCCATTCTTCTACCATTCAAAAAGATTGCACAGTTATACCCATAAGAATTGATTGGTTTCACCAAAATCTAGCACTATTGGCCCATGGCTACTCAACATCCTCCAAGAACCTCACTTCATTCATAAATAATTCTTTTCTTTTTCCCTTTCCTCCAACTTTCTCCCATAATTAGATTGTGTGGCAATATGGAAAAACCACATTGCATTAATTCATATAAACTTATTTAATAATTTATATTTACTATTGGCTTCTAGTTCAACTTAAATCTGTGGTATATGCTCAAGCTTAAATATGTTTGTATTTTTGCATTCTCTATTGTTGAAATAATCTGAATTCTTGAAAAAGAACAAAAAAATTGTTTTCAAAAGCAAGGCACGAATAAGGAGTAATCTCATTGTGGATGTGCTGGGCCCAAAAATAATCAGAGAACAAATAACAAGGAACTAGATAAAACTTGCATTTTTTAAATATAGTAACATTAAGCAAAATATAGCTTGTATTAGATGAATAAAACAGCAATCTTGACAGTATTGAACCAAATAACCTCTAAAAAAAGCAAAACAAACTTGAGCATCATTTGGATAGATGGATCATTTGTTTTGTAAAAACTTTCTGGGATAAATTCATTTAATTGTCACATGTATCATGAGCAGTTGCAAATTAAGTTGTTAACTGCTCTTACGTTGGCCCAAAAAATTGTTTAATAGTTTTATAACTAGGTTACTGCCTTGAGCCAGCTAGGTTATCAAGTTGGATGGTTCATACATAAATATTTGAAACCAGCTCTAAATTGCTTTATGCAATTAGACGAATCCACATAAAACCTACCTTAATCCACTGAAGCAAAAATCAAAATTTTAGAATTCTAATTGAAGCAGGTTCTGAATGATATTAAGCAGTCGCCAAAGTGCTCTATTCTACACTAAAAAATTACAATTTGCTTACAAAAAAATCAATGATATAGACCATATAACCTCTTGACATGCTCGCTCAATTGTTTTGCACTCCGAATTACATTGTCCTTCCACTCCCTGCTCCACAAGCTGCAGCAAAAAATCAAAACAAATGAGAAACACAAGAAATTCCTTTTTTAGATCGTAATCAAATAGAAAGATCACGATACGATCATTTTATTTGCCTCTAATTTATCCCCTTTCTCCGTGATGTCAATCTGGAGAATCCAGTCAGCTTCCGCTTTCTTCAGATTACAAACATTCTCCGCTATCTCAATCACCTCGTATTCGGAAATCTAGTCGCAACACCATAAAATAACGATTAACACTCGGATTAGATGAAACAAAACAGGAAAAAGAGAGCAAGATCAATAACCTTTTTTGGTGAAATCTTGGATTCTTTGCCCTTAACCTGGTTGTGGATCTGGTGAGCGATCTTCTCACAAACTTGACATTTGAGGTAAGGAATGTCCTCCTTCCTTGCCGCAGAAGGAGGCGCCTTCATCTTGGGAGAAGCTACGGAGAAGGGAACGAAGCATAAGAAAAAGACAATAAGGTAGAGTGGAACGGAAACATAGAGCTTCCTCGCCATTTTTCTCTCCGTCCCGTCGTCTCTCCGTCCCTCCGGGTCTTGGTTTCCTTTTGGGACTGCAGACCATCAAAGACTTCAAAAATAACAAATTGATCATCGAAATTTTTAGTGTTGTTTGGTAGCATATTTTTAACATGATTAAGTCATAAATTTCATCAAAATCAAGGTACAGATCAAAAATAGGGAAAAACAAATCTAACTTCAATTTTCTCCCTGACGTAAATCTGAAATTATCAAATCTGATTATTAGACGGATTGCATAAATTTATGTCGTCATTTCTCACGTGCTTTCTCTCTGCTGCGAACTAGTTGGATTTCGCAGATTTGATAAATCCTCTAATGTATATCTATGGCAGCCGCCAAAAATCGTCTAAATATTTCAAATAAATGACCTTAGATATCAACATTTCATTTCACCCACCCACCCCACATCTCCATCTTCCTCCAATTCGTTTTCATTTGTCGAATCCAGCAGAACACCAAAAAAATTGAAGATTAAATTCAACGCTCTGTTAAAATGAATTTCCTGACGTTATGTTAGATTTTCCTTGCATTCCATTTCTCTTCCGACGTAAATCAGGATTTACTAAAATCCTGGTGAGAGAAGATTTTTTTCATTGTCGCTCTCGAACTTCACCCTCAAAAATAAATCCAGATTTATCAGATTTGATAAATCATACTTGATGTAAATTTAAGATGCAGGCAAACACCGCCTAAATCTGACGAATGCCCTGATTCAGTAATCTTGAGGTTTAAGGTAAAACCAAATAAAAAAGGGATTTCAAACTTGCAAGATTGAAAATGATATTTTGCATGGCAGGATTTCTTAGTATATATGGCATAAATCTTGCAACCAAATAGCTGTAATATTGATTTCCTGAAAATATACTTGCTTACTAGTAAATGGTTTATTGGTAGAGATACTTTTTTATTTTTTGTTTTTTATTTTTAAGTATTTTTATATCTAAAAAACACTGACAGTAGCAAAGATTGCATGTCTTCTCATTCGGTCGGCAACTCTATAAATAAAATGATCTTTTTCGTATAAAGGGAGGAAAGTTATTTGGGCTCTCCGACCATTTAGCATCACTCTCCCCTTCTTTTGCATTAGCATCTTTCAATACATAAAATAGGTCCGAGAGCCTAGGAAATAACTCCACTTTGCTCTGCTAGGGACAATCGTTGTGTCTCTTCTCTCTCTCTCTCTCTCTCTCTCTCTCTCTCTCTCTCTCTCTCTCTCTCTCTCTCTCTCTCTCTCTCTCTCTCTCTCTCTCTCTCTCTCTCTCTCTCTCACACACACACACACACACACACACACATACACGCTTTTTTTTCCTCTCCCTCGGTCTCACGTTCTATGCCTTCGACATTGTCAACATGACAAATTTGAATCCAACATCTTCAAAAATGTGGTAAGCATAAATCATGTCGTCCACAAGAAGAGCATTAACACTGAGAAGAAACTCTTCGAGAAGGAAAATTTTGGTTTGGACTATGGACATAGAGCAACGTCCAGAGTCCAATAATATGAAGTCACATGTAAGTGTGGGTCCCGCACAGAAAAACATTATAAAATTTTTAAAAAAATGTAAATATGTAGAGTAACGTCCATAGTCCAATAAAATGAAGCCACCCGATGCTTCGACTATCCCGCCTTTTATACTATCCCACCCTTAAGAAAAACTTTTAGGCTTCCTTGAGTCCGGTGTCAGAAGCTTCTATCTTGATTCCTTGCTCCCCTAGGGCTTCGTCGTTGCTCTGCTACGGTTCGTTGAGCTAGGTTATGCTGTGTTGTTGTGATGGAGATGGATTTCTCTCTCACGAAGAAAAAAAGATAATGAATTACAAGAATAATGACTACGAGTTTAGGACAGAGGTGAGCTTAGTGTTGCCTGAAATGTTATGGTATCATAGATTTTTACTTAAGTGCTTCCATAGAGTTCTTTTTTTGTAGTGCTGCAATAGGTATTTTGAGTTATTTTTCATAATACTTTATGGTTTTTTTGGGTTACTTTGGGTCTAGGGTTTATGGTTATTTCATGTTGTTTTATGGTTATTGTCGAGTTATTTTTAGATTATTTTATGGTTATTTTTGAGTTATTTTGGGTTAATTTTTGAGTTATCTTTTAGTTATGCTAAATAACCCGAGATTAACCCAACAATAACCCTAAAAAAATTAGAAATAAATTCAAATTAACTATTAAACATCCTAGAAAAACTCGAGTATAACCCCAGAATAACACAATAATAAATTTAAAACTAAACATAAAAGAACTCTTAAATAACTAGAAAATAATCCAACAATAACTCCTAAAAAAGTTTGATATTAATCTGAAATTAACGCCTACATCACCTCAGAATAACCCAACAATAACCACATAATAACTCAAAAAATATCTCCTGAACAACCATGTAATTAACTCATAAATAATTCCAGAATAATCCAAAAATATCTCCAATATTGATGCAAGAATAATTTTCAGGTTAGTTTCAATTAATTTTTGAGTTATTTTAAGTTATGTTGAGGTTATTTTCTTCCTAGTCTAACCCCGAATTGAAACCCATATCCAAAATAACTACCAAATATTATTATTGTTCAATGATGGTGTTATTTCAGTGTTATTCTGGTGTTATTCTGGTGTTATTACGGTGTTCATTGGGTTTTAATGTGTTCTAAATTTGTTATCAATCTTTTGACATTTTGGTGCTTAGGGTGTGGTGTTATCTGTATATCCGATCATTTTTATGATATAGTGCAAATTTTTAGTTCTCTAAGCCTGGAAATGGTTTCATTGATGGAGTTGTTGACAGTTTTCTTTATACCATTATCCACAATGAGCAAGAAGCTTATGAATACTATTGTGTATATGCACATCATCTTGGATTCATTGTCCACAAGGATCATAATAGTTATTGGCCTAACTCAAAGCAAATTAAGACGAAGGATTATATTTGTGAAAAAGTTGGTCATAAGAAAGAGCCACAATTCACTAATACGGTGAAATACAAAAAACAAAGATAATGACTGACTGTTAAGCTATGGTTTGATTTACTATTGATGTTGATGAGAACTAAACAATTAAGAAATTAGTAGAAATTCATAACCACCCCTTGGCAGAAGCCAGTGATAAGCATCTTCTGCGTTCTAGTAGGAAGATTAGCAAGTCAAATAATGATTTGCTGATCAATGAAAGGATCAACAATTAGAGCAACGAATGCATTTTACTTCCTTGCTATAGAGGTTAGGGGAGTAGAAAATTTGGAATTTACGAAGCAAGATGCCTACAACTTTATTCAAAGAGAAAAAAAATAGAATTAAACAGGTGATGTCAATTATCTGGTACAAAAATTCATGAAAAAACAAATTGAGGACAACATGTTTATGTGAGACTTCCATACCGATGAGGATGGTAGATTGAGAAAATTTTTGTAGAGTGGTGGGACCTGTGATCCCAACTTTCTATATAGATATTAATTGTGATGTATGCGATTATATGCTTAATGTCCTTAATAATGATTCTTTCTTTGTAACAAAGTCAAAAACTTGATCCAAAACAAAAGCTAGGTAAATTATTCACTATGAAGCAAATAATAATAAAGTTATAATATTTAAATATGAGATACTACGCAAGTATATGTATCATTATCAAGTAATATAGGTCTTTTTGATTCAGCTCTGAATATCAAACCCAAAGAGATAAATACAATATGCAACTTTAAAAAATAAAAGAAATTAGATAACAAAATTTTACTTAGCAAAATATTCTTACTTAAACTCTAGATGCTAAAATAGGAATGAAAGTTCAATTCTTTTTGTAATTTTTTTATAATTTAAAATAAAGTAAGCTTTAATTAACTTAACTAAATACTTATAAGATGAAGACAATATAAATAAAATATTTTTTTTCCTTATTAAGAATCAGTAAGAAGTATAAAAATTCTTTCGTGGAAGTATTCTAAATGTGTTGAACCAAATAGGAGCAATAATATTCTTTACCCTTACTACAGATGCAATAAAGAACATTGACTAATATACGGTTTGATTAGTTTTGAAGATTGATTAGGTAAGGAAGATACTAGCTCTCACTCTAGAGTTCCCTCTTCTCCCTCCACCTGGGGTCTAACATCTCGTATCAGAACCTCAAACTATAAATCAAACTGGGGGCTTTAACCCGTCACTCTAAAGTCCTCTAATTCTACACCCTTTAAAGTTTATTTCCTTATTTAGTTGCACTCAGCCTCATAAACTACATTCTCATAAATGAATCAAATGAGATTCTTACCATTTATTGACTCATAAAATACTATCTCGGATCTTACATGTTCTCACAACATGTATTAACATCTTAATTGACCAAATCAATAAGAAAATGAAGTACAATATTTAAAATTATCACAACTTTTTCCAACATTAAAGTTTATTACTTCACACAACTTCTTTTCAATACTTAATCAATTATCATTTTAAGAAAATAGAAAAAGAAAGAAAATAGATAAAGAAAACTACTCAGACTCTATGGAGAAAACACAACCGCAATTGGGTTTAAAAGTAGAAATCATGACACAAACAAAAAATTTAAATTAAAACCAATTGTAGTCACAAATATAAACGCTTATCTCAAATTCTCTCCACCAAATGTCTTGAAGTTCTTTTGAATTCTCATCCTTCACTCACAATACAAACTAAAACTCAAAATAAAATAAAAGGTGGTGTTGACCTCACTTTTGGTTGAGGTCTAGAAACTTCTTTAGTAGCCTAGGTCTAGCCATAGGACTTTCCTATTGACTAGTCTTAGAAAACTAGAAAAGGTACCCTCACCATTAGAAACTCAAAACTCTTTTCTTTACTCAACTTGAAGTTCCACATATTGGTCATAACCTCTAATATTTAGAAGGTAAGATCATTATGGGGAAGCTCAAGAAGAGTTCCTATAGGGCTACTTGGCCTTA